CAGCAGTGATTCTGAAATCTTTCCTGATGCTAAATTATAACTGTTTTCCTAGTACTATTTACTGGGGGAGAAGAATCTATTGTGGAAGCTTCTAGATATACAGAGAGCATCTAATTATAGAGGTCACCAAAATATTAGAAATGATAAAAATGTTTCAAATTCCTCAGAGGGTAGCAGGACTGTGGTGGTGCGAGTCTCTAAAAAGATTTTTGGTGTATGCCTATAATTCTAGCACTCAGGAGACAGAAGCAGATGATGGGAGTTGCCGTTCTGTAGATATGTTTCTCTTATTGGTTGTTGAATAAAATACTGTTGGCCAATAAGGCAGGAAGATAGGCGGGACTAGGAGATGAAGACAATTCTGGGAAAGGTAGGCAAGAGAGCCTACCAGGTCAGTTGCCATGTAGCAGGCAAAGGAGTTGCAAGTCCAGCACTCTCTAGCAAGCCAAGACCATGTGGAAATACATAGATTAGTAGTTATGGGTTAATAATTAAAACAAAGCTAGACAATAAGAAGCTCTAGCTAGTGGCCAACATTTCATAATTAATATAGCATCCATGTGCTTATTTGGGGGCTCAAGGGCTGTGGGACCAACCTGGACAGAAGTTCATGCAACAAGCAGGAAGACCTCTGAGCTCAAGGTCAGCCTGATCTACATAGAGAATGCCAAACCAGTCAGGACTATATGATGAGACACTATCTCAAACAAAACACAAAAAAGCAAAATCAAAGCAAAAGAAGCCACATCCCAGCTCTGTGCATTGGTCTCACCAGGGTGTAGAGATTAGAGTAAAGAGGATGTATATCCCTGAGACCAGGTCTGTACCTGTAATTCAATAGCAGGTTTTCTCTCACTCAGCTTCCTGCTGGCCTCTGACAGCTCTGGATTGTCAAACAACTTTGCTATTGTTGCAGGACTCTAGACGTTTCTAAAAACTGAATCCTGCCCATGAAATCAGGGTAATAAAGTCTTTGGGCATCGTGAATAATGAGCTAAGTGCAGCAAGCGTACTGCGTTTAAGGGCAAAAGCAAGAATATAAAACATGAAGTGAGTAAACTGTAAAAATCAGATCAATAGGCCAAGAGCTGTCATCCTGTGGGGACAGGAGGTGGGGGAGGAACTAGGAGGAGAGGAGAGAGGGGAAACTGTGACTGGGTTGTAAAATTTTTAAAAATTACAAAATACACCCAAAGAAATTGTATGTTTAATCCTTATTTCTCTTGTAAGTTCCAAGCCATGAAAAGGACAAGTCAGGAAACCCCTCTAAAACCTTTGATTGTGTTAGAAATCCCAATTAGATTATTAAAATATGTTTACTTTATTATATGTGTGTATCTATGTCTAGGTATGTGTTTGTAGGTGCCAGTGTTTGTTGAGGAGGCATAAGTGCCTGGTTCCCCTGGACCTGGAGTTATAGGCAGCTGTGAACTGCCCAACAGGGATGCTGGGAATTGAACTGAGGTTCTCTGCAATGGTCAGTGCTCTTAGCCATGCTGCCTGCTCTCTAGCCCCTTAACTAAGTCTTTTAAAGCACCTATTTGTTATATTCATGAGATGCCTTACTTTGAGGTTTACTGATAGCGGAGACAGAGGTAAGGATTTGAGTTTAAGTAGGATAACTGGGAGATGGGTGAAGCTAGATTTTGAAGATGATACCCCAAGATGTCCCACCCTGACCTGTGGGATTGAATATAACAAGGGAACATGACTGAGATTGTGTGACTCCATAACACTGTAGAAGGGGAGGGAAAAGTCAGTTGGGTTTAATCCAAAGAGCAGGATTACTCAAATCAGTTTAATCTAATTACACAAGGCCTTTCATAGTAGAAAGTTTTCTCTAGCTCTTGGCAGAAGCAGATGTTACACAAACACAAGTGTTGAGAACTTCCACACAGGCTTTGAAAATAGTTAGGAGGGAAAGAACTGTGTGGAGTGGGGTGGGAATGATTAGTGAATGAGTGTGTACCTGATGGCAAAAGGAGGGGCTATTTGCCAGAAGAATGGGGACCAGAACAGGGGCTAGTGGTTGGGGTGGGTCCCTATGGACAGAGGCGGCAGCTGGGGAGAGGATGAGCAATTACCAAGTATACTGTTTCATACGCATATCAAGATACATACACACATATAGCATATGAAAGCACATTAACTTATATTCTAACTTTAAAAATGATTTTAAAAAACCCTAGGGATGGCTTCTAAAAGCTGTGAACAACCTCAGCTGACAGTTGAGTTGCAAGAACTTGCCTGCCCAAATGCTGTGCCCTCATATTTCCAGCAACTCGGGAGGCTGAAGGCAGAATATTACACATTTAAGGCCTGTCTGGATTGCAGAGTTCAGTCAATGCCACCTGACCTCCGACTTAAGGGGCAGGCGATAACTTTTATTATAGGTTATAAAGGTCTGGTGACAAGTTGGATTTATTATGCGGCAATAAAACCTAATAATAAATCTAATAATAAAACCTAATGCAGGAAGGGGCCTGGGGAAGTAGGGGGAGGGAGTGGAAAGAGAAGAGGGAAAGTGGATGGCAGAGTGGGAGTGGCCCTCGTGAGGCTGTGACTGGACTATTGAGGGTTCACTTCTGTGACTTCCTGGCTTCCCTGACAACAGCCAGAATCACTCCCCACAAGGCCACAGCACCCACCTTGGCCTAGTTCTGCCTCCAAATGCCCTTCGTTGGGAGCTCTAAATTCCTGGCATTTCAAGGCTGTGATAATTAAAATTGTTAGCTTGGCGGGATCCTCTGGAGACACTTGGGGAAATTATTGAGAGCAGCGGTTCTCAACCTTCCTAAAGCTTTAATGCAGTTCCTCATGTTGTAGTGACCCCCAACCATGAAATTCTAATTACTATTTCAAAATTGCAACTTTGCTACCATTATGAATCATAATGTAAATATATGATATTCATGATATTTGATATGCAACCCCCATGAAAAGGTCATTCAACCTCCAAAGGGGTCAAGACTCACAGGTTGCAGACCACTGATGTAGATTAGTCTCTGGGCATGCCTGTGATGATGTTCTTGATGGCATTAGCTGAAGTGGGAAGACCCATCTTGCATGAGATGGTATCTTCTGGCAGCGAGGGGCCAGGGGTGGTTGTGGAGGCAGATGTAAGGAGGTCAGAGAACAACTTTCACGTCTCACTGGGAAGTTCATCTGCCCTGTTCCTGAGTTTATCTACCTTGTTGCTGTCAATGTCATCCCTTGATGATGTTAGAACCACATTCCAGGACTTTGACGCTAGACTGGGGCTGCCGAGGCACCAAGCACCATGGACTGAGCAGCTACCGTTTTCAGCTCCTCAGTATGAAGAAAGTTGCTGGTTATACCACCCTGACTATACTCCTGACTATACTGTGTAAGCGAATCTAATAAAGCATCTTTTAATATAGGGTTCCATTCCTCTAGAGAACACATACAGAGGTTGTTCTTTCAGCTTATTCTAAGAAGGTCCAAAGTGAGCTACAGTAGGCTCATGGCAAAGGGCAGAAAGGTATAAGAAGTCCTCTGGTAAGAAAAGCAAGTCCTACAAAATGAGTCTGAGCTTACACAGGGAATTCTAGAAAGCTGTGGCTAAAAGCAAAAGTAAGTCAAGGAGATGAATGAGCATTTACGACCAAGTACAGTCCTAGAAAATGCCAGTCTCTCAGTGTCACATGTGAGGACTGGGGAGGAAAGGATATCTCAATGGACCCGGGAGTGCCTGACAGGGTGGGAATAACAGTGGAGGTCTCACAGCCAGCCCGCAGCCTCTTACTGCCCTTGTTAGTGCTGCCACCCGGTTGACCAGTGTTGAATCAAGAACTCAAGTTCTCAGTGGGTTTCTGAACTCTACCCACGGTTTGAGCCTACATACCAAACAAAGCTACAAGGCCACTTCTATTCATTCTGTTGATTCTAACCCCCTGAGCACGTGGAGCTAATGTCAGCAAAACACTCTGTAAGAGTTGCTAGGAATCATCTATGAAATGAGCTGCAAGAGGTTGACACAACTGATATTTTCAAGCTTGGAAATTCCCTGCAGTTGATTTTAAAAATATTTTTGCTTTTCCTGATTTGGGAACATGTATGCATATTTTCGCTCTGCCTCATCCAATAGGAGAGCGAGCAAAGCAACCCTGTCTCCAGACTTCTTGTGAACATCTTGTCCCCTGTTCTGAACAGTCATTCTGATCTGCATGTATTTCTTAAACAAATAAGTCTATTCTTTCTCATAGCTACAGACATCTTACGTTTGAACAGCTAACCTTACACAACTAACAAGGATTCCACAAAGTCCCTATTACGGGATTGCTAGGTGACACGCTAGCCTCTGAGCATCTCTTTTTGCTCGTTTCTTTTTCAGTTCCAAGGGTTCAGACTTGGGTTTTGTGCTCCAATTACTTTTAATCTGTTGGCCGCACAGAGCAAGAATTCTCAGCATAGTGAAGCTTTCTTTCCAAGTACCTAGATTTACAACAAAGGAAAATGAGGAGACAGACACTTCACAAAAGATGAAACTCCAGTGAAATGACCCAAAGCATCCCACGTGTAACTCAACACCGAAGCATGGAAATTCACTACATCAAAGTCCTACTCTTTTTTTTAATGTATTTATTTTTTTAATTTTAAATAGCTTGTTTTACATGTCAATCCCAGTTCCCTCTCCCTCCCCTCCTCCCACACCCCCTCATCCCCCCTATCCTCCCACCCTATTGCCAATTCCTTCCACATAGGGGATATCTAGAGTCTATCATTTCATTCAGGGTAGGGTCCAGGCACTTCCCTAAGAGTCCAGACAGAGAGAACATCCCTCTTTGTGTTATGGACACACGTTGTCTGTTAGTATTCGAGGGATAAACACTGATCCACTGCTCAGGACCCCATAGGTAGGTAGCCCAGGCCTCCTCATTGCAAAGTCCTACTCTTTTTATGTTTTAACCACTTGGAACTCAGGATGCTTCTTACGTTGCTAGGGAACATTTGTGATGTATTCATTTTTGTCTACACATGTAACTGACATCAAAACCACCAACATCAAAGAAACTTAACATTGTCTCCAGTAAGTAAGCTGTACACAGCCACCCTTCCCTCTGCTCCTGCCATTTTCTCCTTCATCTCTTCCCTTCTGTGAACTTGCTCAAGACTCAAGCTTGTCTGAAGCTGTAGGTCTAGCTGGGCACGAGAACATCTGTGCCACTAATTCAGTTTCCCCAGAGTGTACTTTCCTCTAACTTGAGTAAGATTATCATTCCTCTTCTCATTCAGATCTTAGCTGGAAGTGTATCTTTAAACACCTACAGATATAGCATACCTCCAGTCATTATGGATGTCCGGTAACTCACACTATCTGAATTTCTGTTCATTGGTATGCTCATTGCCTAATAACTGATCAATTGATTATCTCCCCTCCCCACCTTATAAGGTCCTGCTTGGGTATGTATTCTTGACACAAACACAGCAGATGCTCAGTGAGTATGCTAAAGAGTGAATTTATGACAAATTTACTTTAACTTTTTTTTTAAATTAGAAACAAGCTTCTTTTACTTGTCAGTCCCAGTTCCCTCTCCCTCCCTTCCTCCCCTGACCCCACTGACACCCTATCTCATCCCCTTTCTGCTCCCCAGGGAGGGTGAGGCCTTCCATGGGAGATCTTCAAAGTCTGTCATATCATTTGGAGCAGGGTCTAGAACCTCCCCCATGTGTCTAGGCTGAGAGAGTATCCCTCTATGTGGATTGGTTCCTGAAAGTCCATTTGTGTACTAGGGATAAATACTGATCCACTACCAGAGGCCCCACAGATTAACAAGACCTCCAAACTGACATCCTCGTTCAGGGGGTCTGGAGCAGTCCTATGCTGGTTTCCTAGCTGTCAGTCTGGGGTCCATGAGCTCCCCCTTGTTCAGGTCAGCTGTTTCTGTGGGTTTCTCCGTTCTGGTTTTGACCCCTTTCTCATCACGCCTCCCTCTCTGCAACTGGATTCCAGAGTTCAGCTCAGTGTTTAGCTGTGGGTGTCTGCCTTTTGCTTCCATCACCCCCTGGATGAAGGCTCTAGAATGGCAAGTAAGGTAGCCATCAATCTCATTATTAGGGAAGGGCATTGAAGGTAGCCTCTTTACTATTGCTTAGATTGTTAGTTGGGGTCAACCTTGTAGATCTCTGGACATTTCCCTAGTGCCAGATTTCTCTTTAAACCTATGATGGCTCCCACTATTATGGTATCTCTTATCTTGCTCTCTATTCTTCCCCTGACTTGATCTTCCTGCTCTCTCCTGTCCTACTATCACCTCCTCTTGTCTCCCTCTCTTTCTCCTAACTCCCTCTCCCCTCCCCCCATGCTCCCAATTAGCTCAGGAGATCTTGTCCCTTTCCCCTTCTCTGGGGGATCATGTATGTCTCTCTTAGGGTCCTCCTTGTTTCCTAGTTTCTCTGACAGTGTGGATTGGAGGCTGGTACTCCTTTGCTCTATGTCTAAACTCCATATATGAGTGAGTATATACCATATTTGTCTTTTTGTGACTGGGTTACCTCACTCAGGATGGTTTCTTCTAGTTCCATCCATATGCCTGTGAAGTTCAAGATTCCTTCCCCCCCCCCCGTTTCCCCCACTGAGTATTACTTCATTGTGTAAATGTACCACATTTTCTCCATCTATTCTTCAGTTGAGGGACATCTAGGTTGATTCCAGGTTCTGTCTATTACAAATATAATGCTGCCATGAACCTGGTTGAACAGATGTCCTTGTTGTATGAATGTGCATCTTTTAGGTATATGCCTAAGAGTGGAATTGTTGAATCTTATGGTAGACTGATTCCTACTTTCCTGAGGAACCACCATACTGATTTCCAAAGTGGCTGCACAAGTTTACACTCCCACCAGCAATGGAAGAGTGTTCCCCTTTCTCCACATCCTCTCTAGCATAAGCTGTCATTGGTGTTTTTGATGTTAGCTATTCTGAGAGAAGTAAGATGGTATCTCAGAGTTGTTTTCATTTGCATTTTCCTAATGGCTAAGGATGTTGAACACTTTATGTATCTTCAGTCATTTTAGATTCCTCTATTGAGAATTTTCTATTTAGTTCTGTACCCTACTTTTTAATTGGATTATTTGGTATTTTGGTGACTAGTTTCTTGAGTTCTTTGTATATTTTGGAAATCAGTCCTCTGTCAGATGTGGGGTTGGTGAATATCTTTTCCCATTCTGTGGACTGCCATTTTGTCTTGTTGACTGTGTCCTTTGCCTTAAAGAAGCTTCTCACCATTTATTAATTGTTGAGAGTGGGGTGTTGAAGTCTCCCACTATAAGTATGTGAGGTTTTAAGTGTGATTTGAGTTTTAGAATGTTTCTTTTACTAACATTTGTATAGATGTTCAGAATTGAAACTTCTTCCTGACGGATTTCTCCTGTGATGAGTATGAAATGACCTCCTTCATCTCTTTTGATTGATTTTAGTTTAAAGACTAATTTGTTAGATATTAGGATTTACTACCCCCACTTGTTTCTTGGGTCCATTTGATTAGAAAATCTTTTCCCAACCCTTTACTTTGAGGTAATGTCTGTCATTGAAGTTGAGGTGTTTCTTGTATTCAGCAGAAGGATAGATTCTGTCTTCATATCAATTCTGTTAGCCTGTGTCTTTTTATAGATGAGTTAAGACCATTAATATTAAGGGATATTAATGACCACTGATTGTTCATTCTTGTTTGTTTTGGATTTGGTGGTGGTGGTGGAATTGGGTGTTGATTTCCACCCCATTTTTTCTTTAGCTGTTGGTAAAGTATATCTATTGCCTATGTTTTTCTGGTTGTAGTTAACTTGGGTTGGAGTTTTCCTTCAAGAACTTTCTGTAGGGCTGGATTAGTGGACATGTATTTTTTAAACCTGGTTTTGACATGGAATATCTTGTTTTCTCCATCTATAGTGATTGATAGCTTTGCTGGGTATAGTAGTCTGGGCTGGCATCTGTGGTCTCTTAGTGTTTGTAGAATATCTATCCATGACCTTCTTGCTTTCAGAGTTTTCATGGAGAGGTCAGGTGTAATTCTGATAGGTTTGCCTTTATATGTTACTTGACCTTTTTCCTTAGCTGCTCTTAGTATTCTTTCTTTATTTTGTATGTTTAGGGCTTTGATTTCTATGTGGTGAGGGGACTTTTTTTTGGTCCAATCTATTTGGTGTTCTGTAAGCTTCTTGTACTTTTGTTGGCATGTCTTTCTTTAAGTTGGGAAAGTTTTCTTCTATGGTTTTGTTGAATATGTTCTCTGCACCTTTGAGGGGACTTTCTTCACCTTCTTCTATACTTATTATTCTTAGGTTTGGTCTTTTCACGGTATCCCATATTTCCTGGATATTTTGTTTTAGGGATTTGTTGGACTTAAGATTTTCTTTGGTCGATGAATCTATTTCTCCTAGTGTATCTTCATCCCTTGAGATTCTCTCTTCCATCTCTTGTATTCTGTTGGTTAAGCTTGCATCTTTAGTTCCCAATCATTCATCCAGCTTTTCTCTTTCCAGAATTTCCTGTTTGTGTTTTCTTTATTGTTTCTATTTCAGTTTTCATGTCTTGAACTATTTTGTTTCCTTCATCTGTTTGTTTTTTTTCTTGATTTTTGATTTGTTGATTTCTTATATTTTTGGTTTGTTTTTTCTTCCATTTCTTTAAGGGATTTTCTCATGTCCTCTTTGAGGGCCTCTATCATTATCATAAAGTTCTTTTTGAGGTCATTTTCTCTATTTCATCTGCGTTGGAATGTTCAGGTCTTGCTGGTATAGAGTTAGTAGACTCTGGTGGTGTCATATTGGTTTTTCTGTTGTTGAATGTGTCTTTATATTGTCTTCTTCCCATCTCTTCTTCCAGTGGGTGCAGAAGGAGTTTCTTCCTCTCCTGGTGGGTACAGGACCAAGGTTCCCTTGCAATGGGTGCAAGCAGGTCCAATATTCTGATGGCTCTCCTCTTTCCATGAATGGAAGGGGACTAGTACTAGGGCCTTGGCAGTATCTAGGTGGACTGGACTACCACTGGGGTGGGTTCCCTAGTGCATGGTCTCCAGGCCTCAGGTGGCTCCAAGCAGGGCACAGGGAGGCCTGCCCCAAAACAGGCCCATGTTTGCATAGTCCTGTGGGCGGAGAATGGAACTAAGATGCTGGCAGTCTCTGTGTGGACTGGACCCCGCTGGGATGGGAACAGCAGTGAGAAGTTCTCAGGCCTCAGGTGGCTCTGAGCAGAGCACCAGAACCATATCTCACTTTTAATGAGAGCGCAGTAGACCTCTGTCATTGACTCATGCTCCATTGTTTAAAATCAGGAAATAAAAACTAGTTTCTTATATTCAGCAAATGTGTGGTGTGCACATTGTATTGATATAACTCTTCCATATTTTCAATGTTCTACTATATTCTCTCTCTCTCTCTCTCTCTCTCTCTCTCTCTCTCTCTCTCTCTCTCTCTCTGTGAGAAGAAATGTTGCCACTAAATCCCCAGAAATCACCAAATGATGAAGAGAATGAATGCAGCAGTTGGAGAGTTCACCAACATAAAGGCATACAGGAATCTTAATTCAGTTCCTACTCCTTCCCACATAGAGAAAAGAATGGGCTGGAAGAAAAAGTCAGCAGAAGAGTTCCTGCAGAAATATACCATCTGGGAAAAGCAGTTTGCTAACTGAAGTCAGAGTGGGTGAGACAAAGGAATTGATGTGAGTGGGAGCATGGAAGGTAATGTTCGCACGTTGTCAGGGGTGGGTGGGAAGACATGCCGATGGGCTCCTGAAGCACGGAGATGCTAACACTGGGGGACTAAGTGTGGGCACGGGGCAAGTGAGAGAGAGCAGACTTCAGGGACCAAACAGGAATTGACAAGGCCACTGTGGGTGAATAGCATTTAGAAGACACTATGCACAAATTCCTTGTGTTGCTGCAAGAGCCAAACTCAAAAAAAAGAGGGGTGGGGCTGAGGAGATGGTTTAGTCAATACCTGAGTTTGATCACCAGTACCTACCTAAAAGCTGGGTATGACTGAACCCCTAGTGCTCAGAAGACAAAGACAGGAGGAGCTCTGGGGCTTGCTGGCCAGCCAGTGTATTCAAATCAGCAAGTTCCAGGTTCAACAAGAGACTTTATCTTGGAAATAAAAATCAGGTGGAGTTTGAGGAAGATACCTGATATCTACCTGTGGCTTCCCCATGCGTGTGAACATACACACAAAAACATACACACGAATGCAAACAAACAAAAAAGCATGTATGCGGGAGCGACAAACCTACTCAGTCCTTTTCTCCTGCCTAGAATCGGTGTCTATCCTGTTCTCACGACCAGTCCTTTGTGTTTTCAAAATGTTGTACTTTTAACCAAGCTCTCAAAACTCAGTAAATGAATGAGCAGGCTCTGTGGATATACACTGGGCTGCCCTGAAGGGAGGATCTCTGTGGAAGTGTACTGGGCCGCCCAGGGAGCTCTGTGAAAACGTGTTGGGCTTTACAAACAAATGCCCAAGAGAAATGGACCACGTCAGAGAATTCGATTATTTCATTTTAGTGTGAAGCTATTTGTGGTTATGTAGACTCTGCAGAAACAAACAATTTTCTTGCTAAAGATCAATTCACTTGAGCTTCTAATTCTCAAAGAAAAACTCTACACCCAGACCCCAAGTGGCTGAGAAGAGCCAGCCTGCTCCTTCTCTGAGATGAGGACAGTGCCATCTGCTGGCTACCATGCAACTTCTTCAAGTTTGTCTTCGAAGACAAGCAGAGTATTTTAAAAATAATTTTTATGTAACTTGAAAACTAAAAATAAGACAAGAGTGCATTTAAAAACTGCAAATAATCAGTGACATATAATGACACTGGTCTACTTCTTCTCTCTTCTCCACATCCCGTGTTTCCACAGGAAATCATTTATGCCCTCTTTTGGCTGTTCTCATGTACCATTTTGGAAAGGGATTAGCTTGCTTTTGATCAATCACTCATAGGCGTCTTGACTGGAGAACTCCTAAGTATGAATGGCTCTGTCTTTTCTCTTGGCCACTCAGTGTCCCCAGAGACAAACTCATCACTCTCTGACATGTGGTAGGCAGCTGTCTCTCCTAGATCAGGATTATAAAAAGAAGATTGGAATGATCCAGTGGTGCAGTAAGAAGATTCACGCAACTCCTTTTTCTTAATTTAACTTTTCATATCAGCATACCAAGTCATGGGTTTCCACAAGGCCTCCTCATGCATGTGTGTCATTGTACTTTGTTCTCATTCCCTCCCCCTTCCTGATGTCCTCCTTCACTATCACCCCTTCATCAGGCTCCTCTCTCTCCCAGCTAGTCCCCCTTCTGTTTTCTCTTACGTGTCTCCATCCATCATCCTCTCCATGCACAGATGGTTACATATAAGCACAGCATTTTACATGTAGGTTCTGAATATGAAAGAACAAATGCTGTTTGTCTTTTTGAGATTGGCTTATTTTGCTCAGCACAGTGATTTCCGGTGGCAGCCTTTTTCCTGCACGTCATGATATCCTTAGAGTTGCATAACATCCATTGTGTGTCTGTACCACGTTTTCTACAGCATCCATGCTGTCATCTAGATTGATGCAGAAAGTCTCCAATGGATTCAGTCTTCCCCTCATGAGGACAGTCCTGAAGAAACTAGGAACAGAGTGCATGAAACTCCTCACAGTAAAGAATATATACAGCATATAAACCCAGTACAGTAAATGGGGAGAAAACTGTGTTTCTTCTAAATTCTGGAATACAAGGGATCCCCCTTCCTCTGCTCTTATTCAACATAATGTTCAAATTTAGAATAATATGAGGAAGAACAAACGATAAGAATAGGAAAGAACAAAGTCACATTACCCTTTTTTGTAGATGACAAGATCTCATAGTTAGAACATTAAACTTCTGGCAGAAAACTACTTTTTCTAGACAGAGTTTCTCTGTATAGCCCTGGCTGTTCCGGAACTCATTCTGTAGACCAGGCTGACCTTGAACTCAAGAGAGCTACCTGCTTCTGCCTCCTGAGTGCTGGGATTAAAGGTGTGTGCCACCACTGTCTGGCTTTTTTTTCTAGAACACCATTAAATCTGATAAACACCCTTACCAAACTAGTAGAATAGAAAATTCATACATAAAAAATATCAAGTAGCTTTTCTATATAAAAATAATAATGAACTCAGATAAAAACAATCAGGGAAAAATTCCTTTTCTTAGTAGCTTCAAGAAACAATAAAATACTTAGGAATAAACCTCTACAGTGCAAACTTCACAACACTGATGAAAGAAATTGAAGGCACCATTAGATGGAAAGACTTCCCAGTCTCATGGATAGACATAATTAGTATTGTAGAAATGGCTATATTACTGAAAGCAATCTACAAATTCAGTGTAGTCTTCATTAAAATTCCAATTCCGTTCTTCACAGACCTAGAAAAAAAAATCCTAAAATTCATAGGGAAGTACAGAAGTCCTGAACCTAAAACAAATCTTACATAAAAAGGAAATGTTATAGGTGTCACAAACCTGATCTCAAATTTTATCATGGAACCATAGTAGCAAAACCAGTATGGTAATGGCACAAAATGACCCACAGACAAATGGAATAGATCCAAGACCCCAGAATCAACCCCAGTTACAACCACTTAATTTCTGATAAAGTCCCCAGTAATGTGTTATCCCTGGCTGCTTCTAGTTCTGCCATGAGTGACTGGAGCCTCTCCTCCAAGCTTTCATCAAGACACACGGGGTCCTCTGAAGCCATGAGCCAGGATGCATCTTTCTTCCCTTAAGTTACGTCACAATGACACAAACGTAACACATGGGTCAAAAACAATGTGTTACTCAATAATCATGTTAACTAGCAAGAACCAGTTATGTTCATTTCTTGGCCACACTTCAGGCAGTGTCCCTTGGGCCCTGTTGTCTCCACTAGGCCTCTGACTTAGTCTGCTGAATCCAGTTTCTGAAATGAATTTCACTAAGCCAGTTTCTAAAATCTACCCCAGCCCCAGTAACTAATTAACCCCCCACTCTGACTCCCTGTGCCCCCCAACCCAGTTAACACGCAATCAGTTTGCTTTGCTTTACCTCAAACCTCGTACCTAGCCTAAGTTCTCTTAGCTCCAGTGTCCTCACTTGCCCAGTGGCTACAACATCTCCACTTGAATTCAATCTCTTCCATACTGCAATAGTCTCCAATAAAATCTATCTTCCCATTTTTTATTTTTATTTTTTTGGTTTTTCGAGACTGGGTTTCTCTGTGTTTTGGAGGCTGTCCTGAAGCTTGCTTTGTAGACCAGGGTGGCCTTGAACTCACAGTGATCCGCCTGCCTCTGCCTCCCCAGTGCTGAGATTAAAGGCGTGTGCCACCAACGCCCAGCTTGTCTTCTTATTTTTAATAAGGACTGAAAAATAGGCTTCCAGAATAGTGCCTGGGGGATTACTTCTTTTGTAAAGCTTTGAGACAGAAACCTGTGAATACTGAAATGAGAATACACTTCTTGCAGATAAACAAAGGATAATTTCACTTGGAATTTACATGTTGTCTGCCTCACCTTTGCTTTATAATGGCAGAGAGAAGTAAATAAAACAAGAGCTGAAACATGGGTCAAAGGAGCTCCAAAGATTCATCACCGACGCATGTATGTGAAAAACATTTTCAAATGTACGATATGAGTGACATTACAAGACGAAATGCAGACCAAGAGATTGGTAATTCAGGGAGGTAGAACCGGTCTGTGTGTTCACAGTGAAAACTGGGGCTGGGTTTGTAAAGTCAGTTGATGGGACAGAGGCCTCAGAGAGATAGTAGTTCCCTTTGCGACATGAACACTAAATTCTGTTGGGTTACATTTGAAAATCCATTGTGTCATAGAACCATGATGTTCAGTTTTGAGTACCATGTCATAGACCTATGATTACAGTTTTGAGTATTGTGTCATAGACCCATGGTGTTCAGTTTTGAGTATCATGTCATAATAGACCTATGATTACAGTTTTGAGTATTGTGTCATAGACCCATGGTGTTCAGTTTTGAGTATCATGTCATAGATTTATGATTACAGTTTTGAGTATTGTATTTTAATAACTCACGTGCTAGAAGTCTGAGGTTTAAGTAAAAATCAGTTAGAAATGGTGTCATCAAGGCTTTAAGATTTCCAAGATTTCCTTTTCCCATATGATTAAATTTTTTTGACTAAGGGGTATTAGGTATATAAATCTATTACGAGAAAGAAATGTTTCAGGAAACTTTGTAATTCTTTGAGGCTATTAAAACAGTAGAAATAAATGAACAGCCCAAGGCACTTGCATTGTAATATAAAAAAACATCATAGTGGCTGGAATGCCCATTGTTTTCATAGAAACGGTCACCATTGCTGTAATGATGCAATCTTTCCTGCAAAAGGAACTGAATGTGTAAGCTGCGAATACTACTTTATATGCTCACACAAATAGGCTGGTAGGCTGGCACACCTTGTAATTAAGGACTGTGTGTCTCCCAGAGTTACATGATCCAGGCTGAAATCCTCAGGTGAGCCTGGGTTTCTTCAGTTTTCAGCAGGAGGACAACATCAACCCTTCCAATTACTGCTGCCTTCTTTAGTTTACATCTAACCTCTTACACCTCCCCCATTTTAACAGAGTAGAGTTGGGATTTAATTAAATAATTTTAATATAGGCTTAAGCATGAGATCCAGAGAGAAGAGCTCCATGAGTAAAACACACAGGAGAGCACAGGGTTCCAGTTTTCTCCAGTCTCCTTTAGCAAGTACTGAGAGTTAATTGGCAGTGTCAGGGGTCGGGAGGGGTTTTACTTTCTGAGGCTGTTTATCTGTCAACTGCTCCAAAGTCTGCAGTTTTGCTCTTTAGTTTCACCTATTTACACAGACTTCTTGGAAAGTAAAGTAAGAGTAGTTTTACTTCATCATCTAGGTTTACTTCATCAAAGAGGAGGTTAAAGGTTTAGAAAGGCCAGTTAGAAATTTATCTTGGGCGGATGAGGAGGTTCAGCAGGTGAAAGCGCCTGTCAACTTGAGTTCGGTCCTCAGGATCCACATAGTAGAAGGAGAGAACTGACTCCAGCAAGTTGTCCTGACCCCCACATGTATGCAGAGGCATGTGTGTACCCACATGCATAAGTAAACACAACTTAAAATATTTTCTTTGTTTTGAGGGTTTCACTGTGTTGTCTTGGCTGTTTCGGCATTTGTTATGCAAACCAGGCTGGTCTTGAACTCACAGCCTGTCTCCTGAGTGTGCTGGCATTAATAATGGCATGCACCACTACACGTAATATGATAATTAAAAAAAGAGTTAATTTTGTGCCTCAAATATATATCTATACATAAAGTAAAAACATCAACAATTGCCAAATAATGAAATTCTGACCACTTACATAATTAGTTGTGATCATGTGAATCAACTGCCTTTTTTAGCGACTGTAAGTCGCTATAATTTCTAACATACTCATTATAATGCTTCTATGAGACAGCATGATAAATGCTTTGTATTATACATTCTAAAATGTAGTAGCTCTATTACTTTACAGGTAAGAAAACATGAAAGGAATGGCTTGTCATTGTTCCAAGGACACTCACATCATCTCTGACCCCAGATGCCATGCCTTCTTTGATTTCCGGATGCGTGACAAGGAACTGGGAATTTGAATGAGACTCTTAACCAACAGGCACTCTCCCTCCTTAAGGGATGTGCAAATTCCAAAGTCGTTCTTCAGTTACCGCCCTGTGGTGTTTTGGACTAATGAGTAACGAAAAACTTCCCTTCCCCTTTGTTGAAGAAACATGGCGGGGACATCAGTGGACACCAATAGTTTCCACTTGTGTGTGTCCTCATTCCTTTCTAAGGCTGTCGTGGACCTATGGGAGGTCAAGTCTGGCAGGTCCTAGAGGTATAAAATAAGAAGACAATCTTAAGAGTAAGGGAACGGACTGACAGGGCTGAGGAAGTTGTTTGAGGAGATGGTAGATGAACTTGGACAGTTTCATTTGGATCCTGTTCTATCTTCACATCCCAGCACCACAACATAGCCTCCATCCACAGAGGACACAGGCTGAAGAAGTGTTCAATGCCACTTGGAAACTAAAACACATTTCTTGCTCACTGGCCCCTTCCCAATAATCCCCAGCCCCAAGTAAATGATTAAAAAAACCCTCAGTGTTCAGTTCTCTAATCACTATGTACCCAATGTACCTACCAATATTTCTAACAAGTCCATTTGACCATTAGAATTTTGTCCCCTTAGCTGCTAACAAGGTGTTTAAGTATAAGCTTCAATTTATAAGGCAAAGAAAAACCAATTTAAATCATCATATTCTTTTCCTTATCTCATTGAAATAGCTTTTAGTTTCCTAAAGTGTTACAAGAAACAAAGGTAGCAATTATTTTAAAAGGAGAATGTCTCTCCCTAGATAGCTATAATGGTTTGATTTTTAATCACGAGCTAGAAATACTTCATTATCTTTGTCTTGGCTTCCAGGAGATAGCCTGGAGGGAAAGTGATTAACATGTCAGTCTAAATTTGCATCCTCCCACCCTGGTGAGTCCAAAGGGAAAGATGGGACACTTGAAGTTGTATATTCAAGAGAAATATTCTACATGTAAATCTCAATTGCCTCTACATTGTGCAGCCTGTCTTATGTGAAAACTTACAGAATGTAGACAGAGCTAAAAAGTTTAATTGTCTTTGTGAGGCATAGGGGAACTTACATTCCCTGCAGTTTGAATATGGAATTACTCCCATAGGTTCAAGTTGCTTGAACTCTGGTCCCCAGCTGGTGGTGCTGCTAAGGAAAGTTGTTGTGAGTCTCAAGAGGAAGTGAGGGCTTAAAGCCAGGCCCCACTTCCTGTTACTATGTTTCACATTCCTGCTGTCATGTCTTCCTTGTCATAAATGACTGTATCCCCTCAAACTTAAAGTCAAAATAAGCCTTAAGTTGCCTTTTTCAGATATTTGACAATAAGGAACATAACCAATACAGTCCTGAAGATTATATAAACAATTATCAATGAAGACCAACATATGGCTCCTGGGATATTGTCATATATTCTCAAAACACATGTTGAAATCTCACAGGTGAGGTCATAACGGAGTAGGGAAGGGAAAACAGAAGGAGACATGGAGAAACTGGGGCTAGGAAAGTCTGTGACTGCTGGTCACCAGATGCTTACCAAAAGCAAAGGACTCAACTCCGACTAACAGGAAAGCATGGCTGTGGCAACCCTGAGACTGAATCTGTACCTTCACAACTGTGAAATAACAGACTTCTGTCTTTACACCCAGTTTGTTTCTTAGTTACAACACCCTAGGATGCAAATACCCAGGGTTTGAGCAATGTGTACATACAATTTAAAAAAAAAAAAGTCACCTGAACAATTTGTGCTGAGGTTAAAAAAAAAAGCATTTTCGAGGATGGGATAAAAAAGGGAGATTAAAAGTGGGTGAGGACCATTTTGCTGGATTCAGTCTATGTGGCATGACTACAGCAGACACATGGAACTGCCGTCTGTTTAGAAAACTCTCTATCAGGGTGCTTGGAATTTCACCATTGGAAGCAGATGGTCAAGCATCTTTGGAGAGGCAGAAATGAAGCTGCTTTCATGAAGATGTGAGTCAGATACTGGTTTCCTCTGACAGGCAGATGAGCTCTGGGCTACTACAGTTGTCTAAGAAAGAAAAAGGGGCTTGGGAGGGGCCGAGGTTAGAAGTCTGAATCCACAGATGCAATACTCATGAGCTGTCAACTCAGTGCATGTAGGGATGGCGTCTGCCGTGTTCATAAGCATTACTTCATTAGCATGCATTAACAGAGCAACTAAAAGGCTTTGTTACGCCATCTTTGTACGTGCATATAATTTGCATTGATCACTCACTTTTTCCCAGTGCTAGGACTCAAAGCCAGGACTTTTGAACACACTAAGCAAGCTTCTTGTTGTATCCCTGTTGTATCCCTGCTCTCCCTTTGTGTGTTTATTATACCTCGAGGTGCCTAAATTCCTTCTTTCTCTGAGCATACAACAGGATCTGATGCTTATCAATCCAACAAAATCGACTTCATCTTTCCAGGTCTAGTTAATAAGCCTTGTGTCCCTGGAAGGCCTCACCCACACCCCTCCCTTCTTTTGTGTTTCATCTCTAAATGTCTAATATTACTGACTCAGGCTTCTAGTACACAGGGGATCTCATGGTGGTCTTTCACCTATCAAGTTCTATAGATGGAGGCAACACCCTTAGTTTCTCTTCTTCTCTCCTGGATAGTTATTCCCAAAGTACAACACAATTCCAGAGAATCCAACAACATGGCCAGGTCTCATTCCAACACCAGAACATTAATCAAGCACAGGTCACAAGTCCAGTGACCTCAGCACAGAGACAGAACCCAAGTCTCTGGTCCTCACCCATTTATTAAACCTACCTCTTTGGGTTGTCATGAGAAAATACATGTGAAATACATGGCATAAGGCCTAGAATAGAGCTAGCAAACTTAATATTATTTTATTATAATTAAATTAGTAACTGACCAATGAGAATCTGAGACATTTGAAACGCTAACAGTTGCTTCTACAGCTTGGTCTATCCAAGTTCATTTTCACCTGATTTGTGAATTGATCTCAGCTCCAGCATGACCCTTACCTAAGGCGTCCAGTTCTCAGGAAAGAGTCACTCCACAGCACCCCGAGTTAATGTCCCCAGTCCCCACATGACTCATCAAACAATACACTCCTCATTTAAAAATTTTATAATGTGAATGCCAGTGAGCTTCAGACAGATTCTGGCATGATGGAACTTGAGCAACCATTGCTCAGGTCAAATGGAGACATCCATGCACTAGACAGTGGAGAAGACCCTAATTTGGGGTCAGAGCAGAACCAGCCAGGGTAGAGGAGAGAGCAGAAGCTTCTCTGGTGGGAGCCTTTCTTAGGAAGTTTTCTTGAACCTTTTTGGGGCCTGCTTAAAGTTTTCTTTACATCGTTGAACAAGTCTCTGTGTTGTCAATCCCCGACACCCTCCGCACGTTCTCGGACACAGGCCGCGCAGCAGACGCGACACCGAGTGACAGAAGTGTATCCCAGGGAAAAGGCAACAGAACCCCAGGACAGACACTGGGCCACAACATGTGGCTACTGACTATTTCCCAGAAAATTAATGCTGCCACCCTTGACAAGCAAGTCTCTGGGCAGCTGGCTGGTTGACTTTTGAGTTATGGTTAAACAACCATCATATCTTTCTACATCAGTCTGTTTTGTCAGGGGTAACTTACCAGAAGGTTGCCCCTTGACAAAAGGACGGATTCTCCACTGTGCTTAAGATGACCTTGCAATGTTACTCAGATCTTAACTTGGCATCCCGTTAGGAATGTAACTTTAAATACAAACCACTGTGTGACTGTGGTCCTTTTTTTATTGTTTTCATTCCTTTTCCTTCGTGGAATGTAAACAATATTCTCAAATCACAAAATTACTTTAATGTTTTCTTCCAGACTACCATTTGTATTCTCTAGCATCATATTTTAAAGGTACTCGCTGGGACCCATAAAGACTATTCAACAAGAAATAGTTAAATGAAATAAAAAAAGGAGATAGAAACCTCTACTTGGTCTATGGACAATCACTTTCTATGAAACACTAAATTAACATGGAGTTAGGATCAGTTTGAACACAATGAATGGCTTTTGGGAAACATTATTGAAACCATGACAGTTGATTGAACAAGAAAATCCTTTACACCTATAGTCTATATCTTAGTAGACTATGTTAAGACACAAAGGACACACAGAATGACCTTGGGAGGAAAGAATACCTGTGCTTTTTAGAAAATACCTGCAAAACAACCTAGTCTGTGACAGTATACAGCACCCAGGTAATGTAATTCTGGTTACTGTGTGTGTGTGTGTGTGTCCGTGTCCGTCTGTCTACCTGTCTTTGCACATGTGCATGGTCACATACACAAATCTAGGGCAGGGTAGGGGTACAGGTGGCTGCCAAGCAGTGTTTGTAACTTGAGTTTTCTTGGCCTCGCAGGTCCCGTTGCCCTACTCTACCCCCAAAGAAGCACACAGATGTTATATTAATTATAAAGCTGTAGGTTGTTGGCTAAGGTTTCTTATTGGCTAGCTCTGTCTTAATTTTTAACCCATAACTACATGGTTTTATCTTACCAAAGAAAAGAGTGCAGACCTATTAATCCTCTCGCATCTTACATGGTGACTGACTCAGTGTCTCCGCAGAGAAGAGAGTGGTTTCCTATTTGTCCTTGCTTACGTTCTGATTCTGCTCAGCTATGTCACTTCCTGCCTGTCTGTACAGACCTCCAGACCTCTATGGTTAGCTAGTGGTAGTTTCTGCCCAGCTATGTCACCTCCTGGGATCACATGACGACTCCTCTCTGCCTACACTTCCCAGAATCCTCCTTGTCTCCTAGTCCTACCTATCATCCCGCCTGGCCAATCAGTGTTTACTCATCAACCAATAAGACAAACATACACACAGAAGAACGTTCCCCATCAAGTGGTGTCTGGCTCCAAAGGGCCAGGAGAGCCTCAGGCCACACTGACTTCCTGAGGCTTCTGCAGAGCTCTGTCCTTTGCTGTTTCCCCAGTTTCCTGTCCTAGCTTTCCGGAGACTCTGGAGAATTACACCTTTAGTAGATTCTCAGCAGGGACAGCAGGGACAGGATAGGCTCAAGATCAATGTCTGATAAAATGCAAGGTCAATTTTATCTTGATATGTAATACTTACCACAGTGTATCAATGAAAACACACCCGAGGTCCCAGAAGACATATTCCATCACGCAAGTATATAATAAAATTCATCCCTCCATTCAGTTGTATTGGATTTTTGCTCCCTTGCTGTATGCTTAGAAAAATAGAAGACAAATGTATCCTACTTGAACTAAAAAAAAAGTTTTTTTAAACTTCAAATTTTAGGATTTTTATTTACAAAATGGATCGACTCTTGTTTTATACAAATTAAAAAACCTTAACTGTTAAAAATAGAAGCAACTTCCCACACTCTTGGGATCAACTTTCAAGCAACCAAGGTAGTTAGAGCTTGGGTATTTTCCTTTTTCATCAGTCCTGGTAGGTAGCACTTGTCACAGCTGCGTCTTCCCTAGTCACGAAGCTGAGCTAAGGGCAGCCAAAGGTCCATCAGGTCAGGGTCTGAAGTAGCAAGATCTTCTCATTGACGCAGAAGCGATGCAGTACCACCATAAGGTTCTCTCCACAGCGGGAGACCTGGCGCT